CCCAGCTGGGTCCGTCACCGCCGCTACTGCTACCACCGTCGAAGGGGTCTAACCCGGAGAAGAAGGGGAATTGAGGAGGAACTTGTTGCTGGAGCCGCCATTGTTGGTCAAATCCCAACAGAGATCCAATGCTTGTTCCTCCACCTAAATTAGTGTTGCCCAATTGGAAATTCAGATCGCCGGTAACAGTGGCCGGAGCTGAGAGGCCACCGCCATAGTTGAAGCCACCGATGTCGAAGTCGCTGAGTTGTTGGTGGAGAGGGGCCATAAAGCGGAGAGGTGGAATCTGTGGGGAAAGGCCTCCACTGTTGTTGGAAGCTATTGCACTTGATGAGGAATTCCCTGAACCACAGGTTTGTTGTCGGTCGGAACTGGCCGGCGGCGACTTGGAACTTCTCCCTTTGCTTCTTTTGTTCCTCCGGCACCCGCCCCCGACTGGAACGCTTCGCAGCGTCCCACCTCTGGTCCAGTACCTTCAAGAGCGGAGCCAAAAATATGAAATCTTAAAAATTTTATCTTTGAATTTAGAACCATACAAGCTAAGCTAAGTAACCCTTTCATGGAACGAATAATTTATTTAGAAAAGAGCAAAAAATTTAATAAATTTTAATAAAATCATAAATATTTACCTTCGACATGTCTTACAAAAGTGGCGAGGTTGAGTGAGGCTGTAATTGTTGAAGTAGCAGAACTTAGTGTTGGTTGAATCACATCTTGGGCATTTCAATGCTGCCTCAGGCATGGGAATATTAGCCATTCGAGCTCGCTCGGCCATCGAACCGGGGCGGATGGAAGTGGGAGCACCGACGCCATGGGGGGGTGGGGGAGGAGGCGGAGGAGGGGGTGGAGGTAGGAGCTGAGAGCTGGCTCCGGTGGTGGTGGTGGTGGTGGTTGGCAGTTGGTGGGTGAGTTGCTGAGTGAAATTAAAAAGAGGGAATGAAATGAAATATGCGAAGAATATTCAAAAGAAACAAAAACGGAAGGTATAAAGAGAGGAAAATAGGGGAATATTGATAAAAGAAAAGAAAAAGAAAAAGAAAAACGGTTACCTGGTGCCAGTTGGAAGGATCAAGATAAGGAGGAATGGAGGAGAAATTCATGGTGAGGTGTGTTTTTCTGGGTTCTGTTTGTCTTTTGTAAAGGTTGATGGGGTTTGGGGAGAGGGGAAGAAGGATGAGGGAAGAAGGAAGAAGGAAGAAGGAAGAAGGAAGAAGGATGAGGAAGGACTCCTTTCCCTTTGTTTCTTACTCTATAAGCTTCTTTTCGTCCTTTCCCTTTCTCTCTCATCACTCTCCGTGCCCGACCCGACCCGACCCGACCCATTGTGGTGGGAGGAGAGAGATTAGTGGTTCTCATCTTTGCATGCACAAACCACATTTTATTATTATTCTTATTATTATTTAATTTTCGTTTTAAGGGCAAAAATAAAAACAAAAAGTTGGTGTCTCTCTCTCTCTCTCTGTTTGGGAGGACTCGGTGCTGACCAGCTTAATCAAGTTTGGAGAAGATTGGGAAATGGAAATTCCTTTTTTTTTTTTTAATAATTATTTTAAATAATTAAAGGTTTTTTTTTTCTTTTTTCGAGATTATCATTAAGAGAAGTTCGATTAGGGCTTTTGTGGTGTACTACGGTCTTCCTTTATATAATATATATTATATTCTTTTTTGCATGGGAATATATGTGGGGTCCATGTGCCCTATTTTAGAAACGACACCGTTTCATCCAACCTTTTCACAACAAAAGAAAATTTCAAATGTTACCACCCACTAAAAAGGACAGTGGGAAAGAATGAAAAGACTGATGTACGTTTATACTACAATGAATAAATGGGAAATTTAAAAAAGAAATTATCCAGAGCGACTTCACTGGGGATCGAACCCAGAATCTCTGGTTCCGTAGACCAGCGCCTTATCCATTGGGCCATGAAGTCCTTGTTCGAAGCTTATGCAAATATAATTAAAAAAAAACATACTTTCGTGAAATTAAAATGATTAAAATTGAATCAGCTCAAGCGTGATGTGTTGGTCTCAGATTTAGCAGTTTTCTTCTAGTTGGAGAAGACCTCGTGATTGTTAGAGATCATGATGTTTTGAATCGGCCATGAAAATTTGGAATCTGCTTGGTGAAAACAAATAAAATCAAAACATACCAAGGAACAAAGATAGATGAACAACACTCATATTAGGGATTAAGCAAACTAGTAAATGTCAACTTAGTTTCACATTTCAAATTATACAAACAAAAACAAAATTGATTTGCTTGCGCTCAGAGACGGTTCGTTCTATATGGGCCATTCCTGCTTCCACCCTTCTTCATTTGCTTCTCTTCAGAAATGTCAAATCTTGCTTGTCCCAAGGATGGGCCCATCAGCTTGCAAAAGATGGAATCAAAGATATCAAAAGAGACCATAAATCCAAGAGATGATAGCCAGGAAGATACTATGGTAGAATCGAACAGAGTCGAAATGTTGAAACAAAAATTCTACAGCAAATGCATAAGAAAGAAAGAAAGAACTTGCAAAATCTAGAAGAAACTGAAATGGACAGCCATACAATCAGAGTTACCCAAATAAAATGTAAGAACCTGATCCCTCTATCTTATTCTTCTGCATCTTCTTTATTCTTCTTTTTCTTCTTCTTTTTCTTCTCACTCCCATCAACGTGATCATCTGCTTCCCCATTTTGAACATCACCAACACCAGATTCCTTATCTTTCTTCTTCTTTTTTTTCTCCGACTTCTGTTTCTCCTCCGGTGTTCCTGCTTCTTTACCCTCTTTATCCTTCTTCTTTTTTTTCTCCGACTGCTCAGTATTCTCCTCGTCCGAAGGTTCACCACTACCCTTCTCTTTGTCTTTCTTCTTCTTCTTCTTCTTTTCTTTCTTCCCGCCTTCTTCAACTTCTTCGGCATCTTCAGTCTTTTCAGCTTTCAGTTTCTTAGCAGGAGCAGCTTCGGTTTCTTCATCAAGTTTTCGCTTCCGCCCTCCACCATCTTTTTCTGTCTCTTGCTTACCCTCATCAACAGTTGCAGAGTCAGTAGCAAACACGCTAGCAACCAAAGAATCCCCACCAGTGGGTAAAACCAAATTCCTCATCCACTCCGAAGGAGTTTTCTCATTTGGTTTTCCATGCTTGTCCAACTTCCCTTCTCCGATAAGTTTTTTCTTCATTGATGCCCTTGGACCTAATCCCCATTTCCTTGGGTAAGTATCTCGGTCCATCACAACCCTTTTGATCTTTGCAACTACACCATGATCACAAGTTGCCATCACAGAAGTAGTCATCTCTGCAATACCAAGAGCAATGGCTTCACCCTTGGTGGTCATGAGTACAACTTCTTCCCCAACCTCAATATCGTTCTCAAATCTCAACAGCCCTGGAATCATCAACTTAGCACCATAACAGATAGCATTAACAGCAGAGTCCTTGACAACCAATCTTTTATAGCTCGTCAAAACCACCTCAAGAGGCATAATTACCCTCCTCAAGTAGCTCTCATCTTTGAAATTATCATAAACCCATTGAGCATCCATCACATCATGCATTGTAACCATGTTATCCTTCTCACCCAAGATCCCAGACCTCACCCTCCTAAGTTCTTGCATATGGCCTCCAACACCAAGAATCAGACCCAAGTGCACACATAGCGTCCTAACATAAGTTCCAGCTTCACAAGAAATCCAAAACACAACCAAATGTTTATCAGCATCATACTCAAGAAGCTTGCTTTCATATATAGTTCTAATCCTAAGCTGTCGTTTCACAGCCGATATCAACGGCGGCCTCTGAAACACAGCCCCGGTGAGCGTCTCCAAAGCCCGAGCCACCTTAGAAACATCGGGCACAGAAGAATGCAATCGAGCAACACACACATACTCCTTACCCGCACCCTGTTGCGATTTCACGAGCCGCGTGGCTCGATCAATGCACACTATCAGGTTCCCAGTAACCTTCGGGTCGAGAGTACCACTATGACCCGTTTTCTCAACCCGAAGAATCCTTTTAATCCAAGCCACAACTTCGTGCGACGAAGGATTCGCCGGTTTATCAAGATTGAGAATACCATACCTGATGTAGTCAGCCAGAGGCCGCTTGAGTGGGGAGAAACCGGACGGCAGAGGAGTGTAGTGACCGGTACGCACATTGAGACGATCATAGTTCTTCAAAAGAATAGGCCATTGAGATGTATCCACCGAAGGAGTAAAACTTTGAGGCTTGATCATAAAGTCGGCAACGTCCTTTGGCGGCTGCTCATCAGAACCGACAGCCGGTGACACTTCGTCATCCTTACTCCGGTGCTTCTTCTTTTTCTTCTCCGAACGAGAAATCTCAACGCCCGACATGGCTGAATTTTCGGAAAACAAAGAGAGGAAATGGTTTTCTCTAGGGTTTTAGAGTAGCCGAACTTCAGACAGCGGGTGGTTTTAGGCGCTAATGGTAATATATATGGGCTTGTTGGGCCTCGTAAGTCTTGGGCGTACAATTTAGTTGGAGTGGGCTCGAACAAAAAATAGAGGCCCAATTAAGATATGGGTAAAAGGATAAGGCCCAATGGTCCAATAAAACCCGGTGTTGGGCTGAAATATTATCGAGCCCGAGAATCTATACTGTGCGGCCGTGCGTTGCTTTTTACTTTACAGCCGTCAGCAATCGACCAATCACCGAAATAGTTTCAGAAAAGGACTAAAATGGAGGAAATTGGTCAAACGTACAACAGTTTTTTGTCCAATAAAACATAGGCACCATTATAATTAAAACCACATTTTATATTTCCTTTTTAAATAGAAAAATCGGCGGAAAATTAATTAGTTTAGACGTATTTATTGTAATGAAATAATTTTTTAAAATGTCAAATATATCTATAATTCTTCCATTTATATTTATCCAATAATAATAATTGGTTGAAATTCTCATACACAACAAAAATTATATCATGCATGAGTATGAGGAGATAATATAAAATAATACGAATTGCCCAAAGTATCAAATACTTTATTTTCCTTTCTGAAACTATTTCGGCGGGCAGGTTCAAATTACGAGGCTGCTTCAATTCATTTCATTCAATATCACTCTTCCAATGGGCTTGCAATCCCCACTCATTGTACGGCTTCCATTGAAGCCTGGTGAGTGAGCTTCTTTTCGAGCTCCTCTCCATGTTCTATCTTGTAGGTGATTATTGATTTGAGGTTGCCGAAGGAGAGGGAATGGGCCAGGGCCTGAGCTGCGGACGCCGCCATGAAAATGGACTCTTCTTCAGTGCTCTGCAGAATGAGGATGTGGAAAGTGTTCGAGCCATGGTGGAGACTGATTCGTCTATCTTACACCACACTACCGACCATCAAAGATCAACGGTCCTACATGTGGCGGCAGCCAATGGACAGATCGATGTGAGTTTAAGTTGAAGATTTACTCTGTTTGATGTTGATGCGGGGTCTTTTTCCTCTTTTTGGAAGAATTTAGTTGTTTATTTATTGATGTAGATTCTTTCGATGCTCTTGGGCCGGAATGCGAATCCCGATATTCTGAATCGGCATAATCAGGTTTTTGGTTCGTTTGATCGAATGACTGATTTGAACTCGTTGTCCTTCTTTTTCATTGAATCGATTAATTTTTCGGTTGTTTCAGACTCCTCTGATGCTGGCTGCTATGAGCGGGAGGGTAGATTGTGTTCTAAAGCTGATCGAAGCAGGAGCTAATGTTCGTATTCCGTTTTGGATGATTTTCAGGAGTTTGTTTCTTATTTTGCTGCTATTTTTTCTTACTGGCGTCGATTTGATTTCCGTAGATATTGATGTTTGATTCTAAACATCGAAGAACCTGCTTGCATTACGCAGCTTATTACGGACATTCAGATTGTCTGCAAGCGATTCTTTCTGCTGCCCATACCACCCCGGTATCGGACTCTTGGTTAGATGTTTTGATCGTGTTCTTTCCACATTCACTTTAAGTCTTGGCTTCATAGGATGAGTTTTTAATTTGGATTAAATGGAAATGGAAGGGGGTTTGCAAGATTTGTGAACATTAGAGATGGGGATGGCTCAACTCCATTGCATCTAGCGTCCAGGCAGAACCAACCTCAGTGTGTTCGTATACTTCTTATCAATGGTGCTCTTGTTTGTGTGTCCACTTGCAGGTATGAGAAGTAATCTTTTATTTTATCTCCATTTTGAGCATAGCCAAAGAATGATGGTTTGTTGTTTTTGATGGAGAAACTCTATTGTGAATATGTTATGAAGTTGTCCAGGTAGTTCGCCACTTCATTTAGCTGCCCGTGGTGGTTCCTTGGATTGTGTTCGAGAATTGCTTGCTTGGGGAGCTGACAGATTTCAGTTCGACTCATATGGGTAAGCTTCAAGAAAGCTTCACGATTACTTAGTTATCAAAATCTTAAATACCACAATCCCCTTGCTTCTGGAAAGATTTCATGCATGCCAAATTGTCAAATGTCTGACATTTTTCCTTGGGTGAGAACTCAAATGCCAGCTCAAAAAATCAAGATGTGTTCAATTCTCAAGGTTCTTCAAACTTTGCTTGTTACAAGAAATAGTTGTAACAGCCCAAGTTTAAGCTCACCGTCGCACTTTTGAAGACAGCAGACTAGCGATTGTGCGACACTCACTTTCCAACGACAAGTAAGTTAAGCCAATTTGTTCTTGCGTCGCCTACGGCCAAGCGATGTATGATCGAGTCTCTAACCTCGGTTTTAAAAGAAGGTTTTAGAAAACGAGAGCAGAGAGAGATTTTAGAAAGAGACGTTATATAAGCAAGCAAGAGAGAGATAACAACGACTTACAATATATAACCTTGGGTAGGGGGATAAGATATCGTCTTCTTTGGGCTTTCCCTTTCGGGCTTATCGTCTTCAAGGTTTTTAAAACGTGTGGAATCTCACAATCCAGCTCCCTTCTTCTTTCTCCTCCCCAATCGATGTGGAATCTCATTATTCAGCCCCCTTTAGGGCCTAGCATCCTCGCTGGCACACCACTCGGTGTCTAGCTCTAATACCATTTGCAACAGCTCAAACCCAAGGAGGATAATATCTATTAGCGGTGGGCTTAGGCTATTACAATAGTTGTAAACATTACATCTATGGAATGAAACTTAGACCTAGATGTTACTGAAGATTTGTATGAATCACATTTCAACAAAGAAATTAAGGACATTTAGACATAACTCATTGAAATCTGTGATCATGTAGGCTTGCAAATATCAGACCTCTAGACCTTCTTTTCCTGATATGATTGCTACTTCATGATCAACTGAAGCCTTAGGCACCATGTTAAGTTATTTCCATGCTTATCTTAGAACAGTCCAATTTGGAAGTAAACAATAGACCTCCTAATGAAGGTTTCTAAAGGCATCAGCTCGACCATTTGCAGGAGGATACCATTTAAGGTTGCTTTAAAGCATAAGCATCAAGCTTGTGCAGCTTTATTGAACCCTTCATCACCAGAACCTCTAGTATGGCCTTCACCTTTGAAGCTAATCATTGAGCTAGATCCAGATGCAAAAGTTTTGCTAGAAAAGGCTTTGATGGATGCAAACATGAAGAGAGAGAAGGCCATATTGATGGAAAAATTCATCACACCTCCTTGTCCTTTGAAATCTGATGCTCACATTGATGCGTATGATGACAATGACTTAGCATCTGAGGTAATACAACCACACATTTTAGCTCGACTAATGATAATGAGTGTGCTAAAATTCTTGGAATTTCCCCTCAATGTTCTAGTTTTACTCATTGGTATACTATACTACTCTTATATTACTTGTGGTAATCCTTCCAAACAGGATATCGATACAGAGTTGTGCTGCATATGCTTTGAACAGATGTGCAATATTGAAGCCCAACCATGTGGCCATAGAATGTGCGCCCATTGCACATTAACTTTATGCTGCCACAAAAAGCCTAATCCAACGACAGCTTGTCCAACAGCCCCTGTTTGCCCATTTTGCAGAAGCAGCATTGCCCAACTTCTTGCTGCTGAGGTGAAGAGTAATGACTTTGTAGACCAAGAAATTTCCCCCTTGAAACTGAAGGGCTTGAGAACGTCAAATTTCAATGAAGAAAACAGCAGCTTGAAGAGCTTATCTGCCATGTTTGGGAAGTTGAGTGAACAAAATCCAGGGAAATGTGTGTAGTCTTAAAAATGGCCTTAAGAGATAGATGACCGATGGATATGGCAACCTCAGATTCATCTCGTTCTATGGTTTTTACTTCACCTATAGAGCATCATCATTTGGATGTACTGATGGGGCTCCCATTCTAAAGTATGCAAGGGTCGTGTGCTTCGATGTGGGCAAACGTACGAGAAGGTTCTTTTACCCTGAGTATTTTTTCATTATCAGCTATTTACAACAGTTTCTAAAGCCACTAAAACTAGCAAATATAGCACATCTATAGGACCATTTGAAGTTTTTTCTTCTATCATATGCTAACAGTTATGAAAAAGCTAACCATGGCTACCACTTAAAGTGGTTCACTAACTTGGCAGTAAACAGACTGAACGTAGCACTGAGAATACATTGATTTGTCTGATCCAAACACAATGGCTCAATGGTGATTATGATAAGTCTCCCACAACCCAAATGGTAGAATGAAAGAAATGACCATATAACTTTTGACATGCATCATTTGTCCATGAAGAAAAAGTTGTAGTGAAACAATGCATTCAAAGTTATTATAGGAATGAAAGAAAGAATTATTTGATCAGTTGGCAATATAGACATGAAAAGAGTGGAGGAATCCCTTGACAGTAACCATCTTCAGCAAGTTCTCCAATTGATCTTCTGCTTTCCTCTGTGACCGCCGGTGCAAATGGCTGCACGGGAGCAACTTGATCACTGGAAAACAAAGAGTTTGTTCCAGAAACAGGACGAACAGGCGAGTAATCATTGGGTCCATACATGGTCGGGTTGTGAGCTCTCCTTTCTGCTTCAAGAGAGTGTTCAAGTGAAGGAGAACTGCTCAAGCTCACAGCATGGCGGAGTTTAATGCATAAAGATAAAGAAAACAACCATGGCTTGGACTTGTACTTCTTTTTGTCTTTGAGTATTTCCACTCTGTTTCCTTTGGTCGATCTTCGCGACAGCTCCAGAAGGCTAGAGACTCCAATGAGACTCCCAAGCGTGATGCTCTTGTCATGGTAGAATGATCCAGTTGACTAAAAACCAATTGCCTGATGGAATTTAGCAAAAACAGGGCCAAAAAGACAATGCCAGAGATTTTGAAGTTTTTGAGACTAACCCAACGCAATGTATTTGCATGATCGACAAGAGCATGAAAGAAAAGGAATTCTACTATAATCAAGCATAATGTGCTAAATTTTCAGCCTCTCTAACGCATACACAGTTACACAGGCAAAAGAACAGAGAAAAAAAAAAAAGAAAAGAAAAAAAAGAGGAACTAATTGAAGTAACAGACCTCTGTATCAAGATCTGAGGAAGAGTCGGTGAAGGAACTAGGAGAATGAGTGCGCAAAGTATTGAAAGAAACCGAGGCCGAGAGATCATGATTTCCCGCCAATCCAACTCTGGTGTTCATAAGCCGCAAGCCTAATGGCCATCCATCTTCCTACATTCCGAAATCAAACGCTCGATTAGGGAAAAATTAAGCACTCCGAATTTTCACGTGGAGAGAGAGAGAGGGGGGGGGATACCTGTTGAGCCATGGTTGAATCTGAAAGCATCAAGTGCAATAATGTACCAGGAGAAAGGGGAGGGGGTCAGTTCGGAGCTTCAGAGATACGACGAAGAGTCTAATCCGGCGATATCAAAAGGAGAATTCAGGACGAAGTGAAATAATTAAACCGAAGAAATCGACGAACAAGAATGGACAAAGAAGAAACTATAAAAAATCTTAAATTATAGAGAGAACAAGAATGTACGATTGCTCTTGCGAATTTGCATCACATGGCTGTCATACGACGCCATTGGCATTTGGCCCTGCAAATATCAGGCTCAGTCAATTTGAACTGTGGAGGAATTGCAGTTTCTGTGTAGCAGACATGGGAGCTGGCGGAAGGGAAGGACGTGAGAGAATAATTTCCTACTGCCGTCCGATTTGAAGGTGGATTTGGATTAACGACCAGTGGAGGGCCAGAGAAGGAAACTCCCAAATTCTATTTTCTTTTCGCCTAATTACTATTATACCCTCCTTTATTTTCTTCTTCTGCCGCTCGCCAAGGGCTTATTGTGGTCATTTTGGTTGATCAACACCCATTCTTCTATTACAAAAAGAAGGAAAAAAAAAAAAAAAAAAAACTCTCTTCTAACAACCAGTTTTAGATTGGGATATATGTCCAAAACACCCTTATATCGGTATTACTATTTACGTTAATTTATTAATTCCATTTTTTTTCACGGATAATTTAATATGTGAATCTTAAAATTGTTACTAGTTTATTGTTGACCCTTATATCAGTCTCTATTCTTAGTATAAATGGTTGCATAACAAAGTTATTAATAATCAAACAATTAAGTAAATATTTATTACCCTTATTTCAAGACTAATTCTATTCTTTTAAAGGTCGCAATATTACTCGAAACATTTATATAATGTTTCAAAATTGAAAGAAAATTGAGACTTCCCACTATTTTTGGTCAATTTCCATCCAAAAATGTGGAAAATTCAGCTCCCAAGATAATGAAACATTTATGAAGGTCCCACGTTATGGTAAGTTAATTGCTTCATCCGCAGAACCAATTTCCTTTTCAGACAATGGGCCACAAATCCAGCTCGAGCACGAACAGAAAAACTCAAGTGTATCACTAAACCAATGGCCTGCACCGACCGAGGAATAATGATAAAGTGCTGTATAGCAGGCATCCAAGAAAGTAACATCACTTCGCAACAACCAAACGATCCTCCAAACTCGGGAAGTGGGATCAACAACATACATTATTACATATTGTAATGCCAGTGCATAAGAAAAGGTGCAACCAACTAAATCACTTTCTATAAAAAGATATGAATGTTTTACCAAAGATAAGAAAGTGCCTACAACATTACAAGAATCCATGATGAACTTCTCTTTGGTAGATGGTGTTTTCTCCATTACAGTTGTTCCTTGAGAGATCTCACCTTGGTTACAACTTGCATTCTTTGAACTTTTGTGGGCTGAATCAATCTGGCAAGTCTTTACTTTTGCCCCTGGGATGCACCAGGTCGATACTCTCCAATGCCAAGCAGGTCCTGGAAATGTTTAAGTATGAATCACATCTACTCTACTGGGTAATGGATTTAAAAGGAGCATGAAACATGTAGCATTTTTATCTAATCCAATCTGATCCATACAACATACAAAGTGAAAGTTTTCGACAATATGTACAAAAATGTCGAATATATATGCTCAAATCTAAGATCTTAAGTTTTTTTCAAAAGTTTTATGGTAATTTAATATGATAGAGGATGTGTTCAAAACTCCTGCAATGTCTTTCGTTCTACATAGATATCAAATATTGATAATTCACATGTTAGGCTTTAGGAAAAAATTGATATTTGAGCCTACATAATAGAAAATGTTACCAATTCAACATGACTTACTTGGCATGCCTTATTCTTTGCCCTCGTTTCTGCTGTGCTAGGAATATCATGATTTGGCTTTATAAATCTCTTCTCACGTCGTTCACACGAGCCCCATCCATCACAAAATCTACCACCTCTAATATTGAGAAAATTAATGTAAGAGTGTAGTTCAGTTCAAGATTATATAACGTGGAAGGAGCTTAATACAGCAGAAATCAATAAACAAATAGGAATAGTATAATGGATAAGTTATTAAGTCCCATCCACAAACATACTGCATATATGCTCGAACAACAAATTCAGCACGCTGGACATTGCGGTTATCGTCAAATTCAATTGTCTTGTCCTTGATTTCAAAAGAGAGATTGAAATAAAATGATATTTTCCTCCATCCTGTATAAAGTAAACTGCCCCAGTTACATCTATCTCTCCATGTTGGAATGAAAGGACATAGAATACAGTACTCGACCTGATTTTTTTATGAAAGGGTTCCCAGCAATCATGGTGAAGTCCGATTTCTCTAAAATCTGTACGTTGAGATTTTCAATGAATATAGAATTTAAATTGTATTTAGAGACAGACATAAATCCCCTCACGAGATTTCAGAAAGGCAAGTGCCTATCAAAATATAGATACATACAGAAGACATGGGATAACAGCCAATGCAAATTTAGGAAGGCAGTATGACATAACCAGAGAAAATTCAAATCCCATGACACAAGTAGAGATTATCAAGGTTTCAAAAGCAAGAAGACTATTCATAGACGCAAAATATGTAGCTTTTTAGAGAATTAGAATGGAAATATTAGAAATAGTTCTGGTAATCACCTTAAAAGTCGTATGAAAAGAAAATGTATTTTCATGCTGCCTTGCTTGCTTAGTACATTTAAATTGGATTTAACCAAAATTTAAGCCCATGCTTTGGTTTAGTTAGGTTCTTTTTCAATCTTCACGGTAAATCTTTCCATTGCCTACACTAAAACGAGCCAATAATGACTTCTCATGGCCCCGAAATATTTCACAACAGCCTGATCTGAACTGAGACATGGTAACATGCAATACTTTTAAAAGCTTAACTTCATCTTCGAAACAAGTGAGAAAGAAAAACTTTTTCTATTGTCTTTTAACTAAACCTTGAAAACCCTACAGCAAAAAAACTATTGCTCGACAATAGAAATTAATTGAGATTATGACCTTGACTTGATGTGATTCCTAACTCTTCAGTGATAAATTCTTGGATTCCCACAATGTACACTCTAAAATAAAACACATTCCCGAATTTCATACCAATGGATTCCTTTTAGTCTTTTAACTTTCTAACTTTTAGTGTTCGGGCTATCCATGGTTAGCTGTTCAAGATATTGTCCACTTTGAACAAAAGTACATCATAATACTTTCCTAAGTCCAGTTTTTTTTTTTTTTTTTTTTGAATGGACAGTGTTCGGGCTATCCATGGTTGGCTATTCTAACTTTTAGTGTTAAGGCTCGACTCCTTCTCTAGATTCCTCGAATAAAGTACACCTTTTGTTCTACACTTTAATCACTTTTGACTACACCCTTGAGGCTCACCCTTAATCAAGACTCAACCCCTTATCTAGAACTCTCAAACAAAGTACACCATTTGTTCAATACTTGAGGATTCTATTGACATAGGTAAATTAAGGGCATCACTTTTAGCATAAGTTCTCGTAGTTTTGTTTTTTTATTTTGTTTCTCCAAAAGATCTCATAACAATTAAGATAGATATCATCTCTTTAATTAGTCAACGCGTACTCATCTCCCAACCATTCAAAAAAAAAAAAAAAAAACTGGGCTTAGGAAAGTATCATATGAAAAAATGAAAACTAAAGGTGGAATTAATGGATATCGAAAATACCGCCATTGCCGCATTTTGATACTCCTTAAAGAGAGACACTGAAGGGAACTGCCCAGAGAGGCTATGCCTTGCAACTTCCCTTTCCTCGGTCAGCCCACTTCCACTAAAAGCTGGTGAGCCTTCAGATCTAGAAGCAATCTGCGGCGACAAATACGCTTCGGGAGACAAATATACCGGCGCGGGCGGATTCCGTAGCGCATTGTTACAGACAACCGCTAGAGGACTTCTCTCACTCATTTCAGATGCACATGTCCTTGCAATTTTCCGAGGAGGTTGAAACACCCAAGGCTCATGCACCACTTGACCCTCTACAAAAACCCTGGAATTTTTCTGCGCCTGGAATGGAGTTCTAGGGCTTTTTGGGAATTTTGGCGGCGGGGAAGGGTTTGATTTATTGACGCAATTAAGTGCTAGAGATTTACGAGATGTAGACGAGGAGGAGGAAGAAGTCGCAGCAGCAGCAGCAGAGTCGATTACAGCCCACAAAGCCGCATCATCGAAATCTTTGTCGTCGATTGCAGAGTACGTGATTGGGGGCGCCATTGTAGTGAAATTCTGAACTTCAGAACTGCCACTTCAATGAAAAACTCGCTAATCAAAGATTGAACAAAAGCTACAGAAATCAAAACGCTGAAGCCATCGGAGAAGGCTCATTCGCCATCTCCGGCTCCATCTGAGGTATCTGAAGCGACCACTGCCCGGAGGAAAAAAAAAAAAAATTAGCGGGAATTGAATATTTGAATTCTGAAAGACACAAATAAAACGTCGTCGTTTGAAAGGGAAGACGATACGGAAGCCCCCATCCACGGTGGTGGGCCTGCAATATTATTGGGCCAACCTTATACGGACGAAGGTAAGCCCATGATACCAATGATATGGCCCATTATAGTTAGCAGTTAGCAGAAAGGGGAAGTGATTGTCAAATTTCCTAAACGGTATAAATAAACCGTAATTTTTATGAAAAATGATAAAATAGTAGTAAAATATTATAATATTTTTAAAAAAGAACCAAACAAATATTGTTGGTCCATTATTTTAAAATTTTAGCTGATTAAATGATTAACAAAGGAATTTTCGGTCCCCAAAAGGAGCTTTAATATTTAAGGATTAAAATTAAATTATAAGCTAAAATCAACAATAATAACGTAGAAAGGGAAAAATAGATTCCTGAAGACCGAAAAGAAACAGGTAGGCATCACAGCAAATTTTGGGACACGCGGCTTATTTTGGACAGATTTCCGAGTGGGCCCATTAGTTAGGATTGACAACGTGGGCCCATTTCTATGTTGGGTTGGTGGAAAATGCCCTCGTTGGGAAAAGGTAAAATGGTAAATGAGGTCGAATTTTGTGGGTCCCGCCCACAATGAATGACCCATGTGCTATCCTTTGCCTAAACAAAGGCGTAGTTATTTATATATATATACTATTTTTCTAAAAAAGTTATTATTAAAGTTTTGAAACTAGCTCCACTTCAAGTGCAAGTCTATTGTCTCTTGAAAAAATGACGTTCGTGGACAATTTTATGTCACATTTTAATAAATAAAAACAAGTTAAAAGATACCCTATATTAAAAAAAACGTGTCTCATTACGTCATTTGGATTCTAATAGATTAAATAAATAGTCTTTTTAACTTCTCATCGACCGACAAAAATAATATTTTGAAAGAAAAAAAAAAAAGTGTAATTCAATTTACTGTTATTATTTTTTTAAATATAAAGAAATCATTGCAAAATGACTTTAAGAATAAGTAGTGCACTTACTAGGCTGCTGAATAGTGTACTGCGTTTACTATGCTAACATGCGCAAATGTACTACAAATTAACTGACACATTTGTAGTACATGTCTGATTTTGAGATTTGTTTTTGGAACAATTAGTATACTTCTATTTTATTTTGAAATAGAATCTTAAATATATTTTGAATAAAACAAATATGAGAGATATTTATGTGGGAAATTTTGTTATTTTGTTGAAAAAATATATATATGTATATATATATATATATTAATAAAAAAATGTATTTATCGCATCATCTAAACGAAGGAATGCTACCAAATGGATGTATATTGGTAGAATTTGAAATGTTTAAAATGTAACTTTTTAAAATTAAGGTTTCATGAAAAAATATTAAATGTTAAGTGTTAATAAGAAATGTTTTCAAAATATAAATAATGATTTGCATATTAAGAAAATTAATTGTATCTAAGTTTGAAATTAGCACACCTTAATTATCATTTAATACGCTTGTTTTGTTTTAGAAAAATACATTTTTGACTGATTTAAAATATATTTGGTAATTTCTTCATTGTTTAATACCAACCGTTTATTTATCTTTTATTAGATCAAATGTGGACCGTCGATTTACCTGATTGTCTGTTGCGGACCCCACGAAAGCCATTCAACTACATCCATAAGGCGATTAGCGCGAGAGATGCGTGGAAGATAATGGATGCAGCTTTGTTGGGACTATACGAGATGGTTTTGACACGTGGACGGTGATACTATTCTCTCTCCCCTTCCCCGCCTATATTTAAGTAACTCATCCTTCACTCCTCTCAAGTCGTTCAATCGCGATAGGTTATATTTTAATTTCATAAACAACCTTCCAACCTCTTCGTTCGTCGTTGTTCATCGTCGAAAATGTCGTGCTGTGGTGGAAACTGTGGATGCGGCTCTGCCTGTAAGTGCGGAAATGGCTGTGGAGGGTGAGTAAGCGCTATTTATCTCCTTAGGATTCGATCGCGTAAATTTATTTTTGTTGATTTGATTCTGTGGAAGATTATCTCTCGAGTATCTGATCTTCCGTTTTCTTGTATGTTGCTTTCGACTTCTTTGTCTTCTCTATGTCTTTGTTCCTCGCTCGATGGCGATCTGATCATGTGCCGGTTCTTTTTATTGAGCTCTGGAGATGAGAAAGATCGCGCGATTAAGGCGGATATTCGTCTAACAGGACTGCAATTTTCATTTTCAGAGGATAATTGCGATGATTCTGACGTTTTTGATTTTATGTTCTGCAGATGCAAGATGTTCCCTGACATGAGCTTCTCAGAGACCACTGCTACCATCGAGATCTTCGTCGTCGGTCTCGCTCCTCAGAAGATGTAAGTTCCTGAAATTAAACCTAATCCTTCAAGAGAAACTTAGTCTTTAATTAACGATACCAGCGTTTTCCATATCAGGTCCTTCGAGGCGTCAGAGATGGGAGCCGAAAACGGCTGCAAGTGCGGTGACAACTGTACTTGCGATCCATGCAACTGCAAATGAGCAGCAGCTCGAATCCTCTCGAGTGGAGATTGTGTTCGACCACTAATAGTATGCATCGTAATAATAATTATCAAATCTCCAAGCGTTTTCCTTCTTTCGTTGCGTCCTTAAATTGTCGCGTTCATTATGGTTCAGTGATCTTGTTTGTTTAAGATTTCTTGTGTTTATCCATATGCCTGTTTAGTGTTTATCCGTATCTGTGGTTGAAACTGAAGAACAGAGTTTGAATCCTGTCCAAGAGCTTGACGTGATAAATATCTCCATGCCTCGATTGCAAACAATATCCATAATTTTAATATTCGATATGCAAAAGTTCTCGCGGTTTCAGTGGGGCCGATTGAATAGTTAAACATTCATTCTCAATCGATGTCCAAAATTAAATGCCCATTTACGTGTTCCTGCTTAATCTTTCCTGTAATAGCCAAACTTGTAATGGCAAATAGCTTGGAAATTGATTCACTTTTCCTTGGTCTTTTTTGTCCTCTTGCTTGTAATGATCTGTTAGCGCATCCTTTCTTCTTAAGGATCGGTTGCCTTTTGAAGATTAAAGTGGTTTTTTCTTTTTAGAAAAACTTGTGGTTTCAACGTTGAGGAAGAAAACAAAATAAAACGAAATCAATAAATTCAATTAAAATTTAAAGCTAATATATATTTTGAAATTTTATTTTTTAGTGTTGGAAATTATAGAAATATAGAAATAAATAATAATATATATACTATTTTAATCATATTTTACATTAATGATTTTAATGGTACGCAACTATATTTCGAGGTAAATTTTCAATGTGCATATACTTTTTTAATCCTCATATTTCAATTATTCTACTGGAATTCACTTCATTAATCCATTACTCCCATATGTTCCAACCATCTCTTTCCTTCAAAACAGTTACATAATTAATTTAATTTTCAAAATAATGCAAATTATTACCCCACCTCATTAAATGCTGTATAATTTTGAATTTGTTCCATTAGAAAAATGGAAGAATCTTCAATAATTTTTAAATAAATACATCGAATGTTAAAAAAAACTTTTTCTGATGACTCAAAACTAATTTTGACAAAGGACACCTTTATTATTTTTTGGGAGAAAAAAACAATTCTTTTTTTTTTTTTTTTTTTTGCAAGCTATAGAAAAGTCGCAACAAAAATTGTAAAATATTTAAAATTTCACTCTTTTATTACGTGAAAAGGGTATACTTTATTTTGTTTAAATTAAATATCTGCTCTGGTTCCATATAAGCCATAAAAATAGCGACAAATCAGCATCACTCTGGATCATCATATTTAGATTACAATAGCCACAAGTTCATAGTAATACAAATAGATAATTTGGTTAATGAATAATACAGATAGGGCTTACAGAGAACATGAAGGAAGCCCATCACGCCGACCACGCAAAATCTTTAGTCGGACAGTTCTCTTCTCTACTGTTACAATATGTTAACATACAGCAACTTGGAGGATGTTGCTATGGCACACTTCCCAATACATCACTATATCTTCTTCTACCTTCATTATTGGTTGGATAATGAAGTTTCAGGGCAAGGGACAGCAGCCAAATCTTCTATTCTACCAAATATCCCCATTGCAGCTTTGCTGAATAAGTTATGGATCTGCAGAAGAAAAAGAATCCATATTTAGGGGAGCCTGATTTTTCCAGGAGTGAACCAAAATGGTAAATTTGGTAAGTTATTGTGTTTGTTGAAGCATTACCTGCTTGGATGAGAGTCCTAGTTTCTTCAGGTCAGCAAGCTATGTAAACACAGCAAGGGGAAGAAAAAGTTCATTATATTCAGGAAAGAAGTTGGATAGTGTTGCTTTATCGACGTGTTTTTGTAAGTTTACATGCGATGTTTTTACATGTTGAGTGACTATCAGAAATGACAAAACTATGTGTGTGTGGGGTTGGATTGTATTTGCGAATGATAGAGGTCTCTCGTGCTTGGCAAACTTTTAGACACCAAAATGAAGAATTTAGAGAACACAGATTGGACTAGGAGAGAAAAGGGATAAGGTTAGGTCCCAAGTGCATATGACATGAGAAGATGGACTTGGTAACCATGAATGTCCACTATAAGAAAATTTTGGATGAAACCACCACGCACCATTGAACATATGAGAGAAATACATCAAACATATATCTCGTGGTTATCGTCTTACCGATTTCAATGGACTAGTTTCTCTGAGATCCAGAATGTACTCTGCCATTTTCACTCCAATGCCCTGGGAATTGAAAGGGAAAAGAGAATGAGGAAACTTAAAGGGAAGATGTTAATGTTTTTCCTGGTCGAAGTCTAGAAAATACCTTCAATTCTACTAGTTCCTCTCTGCAAAACAAAGAAAGCCAATTAATAATTGATTAAACTTTCACTATTTCAAATTGAAAAGTTGGGTACTGGAACAAGAAATCCACATATTCTTGTGCACAAAATGCTAAATATTGTATATGATTATGGACCTACCTGCTTGCTGTATTCAAGAAATCCACATATTCTTGTGCAACGCAACTCTGATTGGTTAGAATGACAAGAAAAACCAGAATTATTGAAATCCAAACAGCATCGAGACATAAAGAGATAATGAAATTTTAAAAAGGCTTTTTGAGTACCTTGAGGGTTGATACTTGGGCATCAAACTTATCTAATGGGGTCCCAAAAGATTTGAATTCCTCATTTGCTGGGAATGGTGTTTTTGGAGTCCTTGCTGGTAATTGATCTGTAAACGAGATTTCCAGCACAGCCTTTTGGATTCCATTAGTGTTGTGGATTGGTGATAGAGCCTTTCTTGGACTATTGAATTTCACCTTTTCTACTGCATATAAACATGAAGATTCAATCATATCCAAACACAATGTGGCAGAATGAACGAGGCAGCTGTGATAGAAAATACCATGATCTTTGGTTGCGATAGAATTAGCTATATCTTTATTTTCAACCAAGTTTCCGAAAGCTACGGCTACAGTCCTGAAGATCATCAATCCAGTATTGTTAAAAGAATTAGTAGAAGGTACTAAAAGTTGATAAAGCAACAAATGATTGCCAGACCTTTCTTTTTCTCGTTTACAGTCACTCTGGTTGGCCGTTTTCTTAACTTTGGCAGAACTATTGAAGAGAGGTTTTCTCACTTTTGATGCAGTAGAACAAGGAGTTTTGCTAGAAAATGGAGAACCAATCCCTCCGATTCTTTGCGCACTTTTGGTCTTGCCTTTGGATTCAAGCCAAGCTCGCAGCTTCGATTCCATGTCAACTTTAGCTTGTGGAGTCCCCTGTTTATGGATCGGAACAACAAAATTCGAAATTTGACGCGATCTAGCTGCCAAGCTGACTGTATGGACAGACTCCTGATATGCTCCTGGATTCTGTTATCAAATCAGAAGGAAATTTGAGCAAGTGCAATTCTTAGATTACAAAAGATGTTTAACCTGCATCAATTTACCAGGCAAGCAATCATTAAGGCACGGCTTGTTCCACCGAGAGAATCTTGCAGTATGCGGGTCAATTTGCTTTCTCTGTAAGGTACTCGGGCAAGGTTCTTGTTTAATGCATATATCACATTTGAAAGCGCGAACAACGACTGGTTGATTTTCGCGCTCTCTTGAAGGCGAATCCCTTCATTGCCAGTCCTCCTGTTATCTTCATTGCCTGTGATGGATGGTTATGCACAAGTATTAACTAAATTAGCAACACGAACAACTTCTTGAGCAGTGCACAGATCTTATTTGATGGTTAAGGCTAGGTTTCTATATTAAGCTTAAGAAACATACCTGCCAAGTCTATGAGGTTGAGCTTTCCGGTAACAGAAGCCGCCGAATCACCACATACGGGCGATGAAACTGTAATAACAAGAACCCCATGACTTCTACTTGAGACATCGTTAAGATCAGTATCAGCAACTTTCCGCCTTTGAACTCCAAGAGCCAATGTCTCCCGGAATTCGGACATGGAATTTACAGCAACCTTAGATAAACCTCTGAGATGAATTTGCCCTTCTTTATCATCCATAATTACAATTTCTTTAGCTTTGGGTTCCAGAAGATCATGACACCTTTCCAAGTAGACTTCATAGTACGACATTTCTGCTCTACACCCAGTTTCCTCACAAAGTGATAAAACTCTAGACATGGCTAGTGGCATTAGACCTGGTTCTTCTTCAGTACCCTGCATCCTCAACCAAATCGACACAATTCAGAGTGCGAGTCATTTCTGTAGTTGAATTATTTCATATCAATTTCAGGAAAGCTAAATCTTTTATGAACGAAAGCTAATGATTCTTCTGTTGATTTCAAGCTAAATGCAACAGATGACAAATCTCCCACTAATTAAAGATAACCTGCATAGTGTAGGACTTTCCACTGCCAGTAGCCCCGTAAGCAAACACAGTAGCATTACATCCTTGGAAGAGTCCAGGAATCAAAGGATTTACTTCTTTATCGAATATCTGCCTCACCGTGTGATCTTCTTGGCCAAAAAATGAGTCCAACTGATAGCACTCGTTTCGACTACAGAAGATCCACCAACCATAATCAATCAAACCAAAATATTCTTCTACCACGGCAGAAAAACACTATACAGAGAAAAAATAAAAAACAAAGTACCTGGTTTCCGGATCTTTGAGATTAACAGTAACCTCCTCGGGAGAGATACGCCCTTGATCCACGACAGAAATGCATGAAACTGGAACCCTAGAACTTTTGACTGAAATTTCTTGGGAGAGAAATGGACGAACCCTAGCAACGACTCTGACCTTGGAGATTGCACAGGATGTAGCAGGTGCAAGAAGTTCAAAATTTTCAGCAGCCATTGAACTGGAAGTATGGTTCGCGTCGGCAGTGGCAGAGTCTCCAAGCGAAGGGAGGGACGAGGGAGGTGAATTTGAAAATCAAGACGTTGGTGGCAGAGTCTTATTAGTTTTAAATTTTCTTTTTTCTTTTGCGAATCTCTTCTTTATTTGAACTAAATTCAAATCTTCGTTTGAATTATCCTGGGCCAGGATTCATGGGCCTATTGGGCTCAGTAGCCTAAAAAAATTCCGTAATTGGGCCTCTCAGTTATAAGTAATATGAGGCCCACTATTCGACTTCAAATAATAATAAATGTAAAAAATCTTAAGCATCCATTAACCACAGGTTAAATTTATATAGTAACAATCCATCATTTTTCTTTTTTACTTTCACATACCTATGGATTTACACTATTTAAATGTACGGAATGAAAGTTTAGACGGAATAGTATTTGGAGTTTAAAAGAATAACTCAAAAATATAGGGGCTTAAATGGGAGAATATACGAACATTGAAGGACCATTTAGCAATAAAATTTTTACGCTTTCTCCAACTTATAATTCCAACCTAGCTGAGCTGATAGCGGCGATACAGAGAAGGGAGAAGAAACCAGAGAAGTTGAACCCTAAACCCTTTGCTTTCTTTGGAATCGAAGATGGACAAGAACATGCTTGCTGATTTGGAGGGTCTTCCTGAAGAAGACAAGCTCAAAATGGCCACCATGATCGACCAGCTCCAGATTCGAGACAGGTTCTATTTATTTATCTAAAAACTTCGAGTTTTGAAGAGGAACTAATTTATTGAATCATTCTCTTGTTATGAATGTTGTTTCTTTCTCCACGTGTTGTTTCTTTCTTTCTCCATCTGGAATTTGTCTCCGACAACTGCTTTTTTTTGTGGGTGGCAATATGATCTGGGATTAATATGGTAGAAAATCTGGCTTTGTTTGTCTCTCTTCAACTGATGACTTTTATGAATGTCCAAGCGCATTTCACAAATTGCCTTCGTTTGGTTGTTGGAAATTTTTGGAATGCGCTTGGACGTCTTTGAATGAGCCGATGAAGGATTGGAAGTGTTCTAGATACTGGTCAATTTGTGGGGGGCGATATAGAAATTTGGTTTTGGGGTTTTTGTGATTATGATGCAGCCAGAATAAGAGCTTCTAGCGCGGTACCACAGCTTGAAACTTGCATGACATGCGCTGAGAAAGATCTAGCTAGTTAAATTTCCTCTACCACATTTTGGGGGCTTGTTTTACTGTATCCTGCTTCTGTTTTGTTTGTATAATTTGATTATATTTTTTCTGAGGTTTTGAGACCACCTTTTAGAGATTCACCTGGATTGATTTAGGGGTCAATAAGAGTAAATGTAAATGGTAAATCACTTACCAAGAATGAGCCCAAATCATGTTGATCTCCTAGGAATTTAATATCCGTTCAATTGTCCTGGCAAACAAATGAGACAACCAAATGTGTTTGGGGGAGAAAATCAGCCTTTGAGAATAGTTAAGGTGAACACAAGGTAGGGTGAGATGTATATATATATATATATGTATGTATATTTGAAAAGTTCACCTTATGATAGTTTCACTTATTTATTTACTTTCTAAATAATCTTGGTATTGACTCCTGCGCCATTAGTGTAACAGCCCAAGCCTACAGCTAAACAGATATTGTCCGCTTTGGCCCGTTATGTATCGTCGTCAGCCTTACGGTTTTAAAACGCATCTGCTAGAGAGAGATTTTTACACCCTTATAAAGAATGCTTCGTTCCCCTCTCCAACTGATGTGAGATCTCACAATTCACCCCCTTCGGAGCTTAGCGTCCTCGCTGTCACCCTTTCCCCTCTCCAACCGAGGTAGGATTTCACAGTTATTCTATCCAGCGACCATGCACCCTGGCCAGTGGCCACAGGAGCTCAAAGTTCGTACCTCCTAGTACCCCAAATTAACCAACAGAGATTCAGGGCTTTTCCTTTTTTTGTGTGACTAGTTTCAATATTCTGAAATCTCATCTGAACTACGATTTCCTTCTGAATATACTCCAAAAAAGGGAACTGATGGAGTTCTAGGGAGTGATATTGATTTGATCTTGGATTAATATATCTTTGGAAGCTGAAGTAAGATGCCATATAATTTATATTGAAAAGAAGACTGCACAAGACTACAGTACAGTACTGCTGCTCTTTTGCTCCATTTTAATTTATGTTAGCATCCAATTTATGATGACCACAATAATATCATAACACATTCAGAGTGATAACTGTTTGCCTTCTAATAAATTGCAGTCTGAGAATGTACAACTCATTGGTCGAGAGATGCTTTGCGGATTGCATAGACAACTTTCAGCGAAAATCCCTAACGAAGCAAGAGGAAACATGTGTACGTAGGTGTGCCGAGAAGTTCTTGAAGCACTCAATGCGCGTTGGAATGAGATTTGCTGAGCTCAACCAAGGAGCCGCTACCTCAGATTAATGTCGCATCAGAGGACACCCAGACATATTCTCGAGACCTTCAGTTCTTTCACCTCTGGAATTATAGTATGTTTCTTCCATATTCTTGAAACCTTCAGTGCTTTCACCTCTGAATTTATAGCACAGGCTTCCATATATGGTGCAACTGGGATTAAGTGGTGATTTGATTTGACTTATATATTAAAAGTTTTAGTAGCAGACTTTCAATAAATGTTTGAGATTTGATATCCATTAGGATGGTTTAACTTAGTTTTTTGCTTATTGCTGGTAATATGGCCTTTTCTTCAACTTCATAACCAATTTGATAGAAAAATGATTGGAGATCAAATCTTCAACAGTTAGATGAACTGCGATTGGTTGGGTTTGTTTGGTAGAGCCTTCTGATGAACGCACTTCATTCTTCATCTAATCTAAGCATCTCATGCTTGGGTAAGCCAATGTTTTATTTTTTCCTTTGTTTTTTGAGATTATTCCATCTGCTTGAGTAAAGGTTAGATGCTAGGATTTTTTTAAGGGAGATAGAGATGCTGTAGCCACTTTAGTTATTTATTTTTTAATTTGCTTATTAAGCCAAGTACTTGAAATTCTTGCTAAGGGGTGAAAGATGCCTAAACCCACTAACCCATGTTAGTGCTAGCTGTTACGGTCGTACTTTTACAATCAAAGCTGGTCGTGAGCGAGATCACAATGTTGCACGGTTGAAAAAGTAAGACCCATTGCAGATTGTGACACTAACACTACAATTGAATCGATAAATTTAACTCTTATATATCATGCATTAGTTTATGCACTTTTCATGTCACAAAAAATTGACTTATTATAGTTTCTAACTTTTCATGTCACAAAAAATTGACTCATTATAGTTTCTAACGATCACTCCTAAGCTTGAATAAGAAAAATGTATGGTATATAATTTTTTTATTATATAAATATCATCGGATTTAGGCAAATATTGACCGAAGTAAACACTACTTGTTTGAGCAATGTGAGAAAAAAAAAACAATGTAACGTATTAATGCTTTTATTGTTTTTTTTTTTTTTTTTTAAGAAAATCAATTTTCTAGTTTCTATAAGATTAATTTTAATATTTTTTAACGCCCGATATCTCTTCACAAGAATCCGCTCAAATCCTGGTCATTTATTCCGAATCAGACGGTCCAGAATTGCCCTCGAATTCGATCCCAAAAAATGTTAGGGGCTGTCTGTTCTAACGCCTTCGCACTATAATCGTTAATTGACCGTTAGCCTATAGGGTTTCACTTCTACTTTATTTTATTTAAAAAAAAATCAGAAAATCTGTATCCTTCTATAACGGTAATTAACGGAGACGTCGGTGGTGATATGGATATATTCGTTATGTATAAATATTGCAAATATTGGGATTTTTATAATTTTATAATTTTATTTTATATTATATTATATATATATATATAATTTTTTTTTCTCACACTGTTTGGCCTCTACTTTTGTTTCAACGGGCGAAGATTTTCGAAACCAAAAGGAAACTCTTTGTTTCTGAGGGAACGGTTCCTTCGTTGTCGAACTAATTTCATCGCTTCCTTCAGCTCCACTTCGATTCCCGCCACTTCTTTTCCAGCAGAGGTATCTTTCTATCCTCTCAGATGTTTGGAATTTGTTTTCTAATTCACTTGATTTTCCTTCAATCTTGTCGACTGTTTGATCATGTGTTGTTTTCGTATTCGTCTCAACCTTGCTCTGATTGGGGCAAGATTGTTTGAGTTTTCCCCCTTTTCGTCTCTAAAACCCTACAGTGATTCTCCTCTGCGTTTTCGATCTGATTGCGGGGATTAAGATCTGAGTTCTTTCGTTGCTTTTCGTTTTCCAGTTTAGGTGGTGGGTTTTCGAGAACTTGACACGAGTTGGGGTTTTTGAATTGGTTCTTCGGTGGTTTTCTGTTTGGATTTTCGGTTACAATTTGAGGTGAAATTTATTCTGTTATTAGGATTTTGAATTTTGGAGATGGTTCTAGGAGTAGATGGAAGAGGCGAAACAAGAAGAGTTTTGTCTCGAAAATAAACAATCTACGGCTGCTACGAGTTCCTCTGTCTCTGAAGGTAGTGGCTGCGCAGCTGCCAAGTCTCCTGGGATGTGTAGTCCAGCACCAACATCTCCTTCCCATCGGTAATTTCACAAAGTTGTAGCTCTCGCTAAGATTTTGTCATTGTTTCTTGCACACTCTATTAATAAGGCAGCTAGGTGTATGATATTATTGGCTGCCAAAGTAATTGAAAAATGCAATGACTCTACCCTGCTTATGACCAGTTCAAAGAACTCAGACGTTTATGCTTAATGTGTAATTTGACTTGGCAGGAGAACCAGTGGCCCTATTCGTCGAGCTAAGGGTGGTTGGACTCCTCAAGAGGTAAGCATTGATCGCCCCCTCTTTTAGTTGCTCGTGTTGCATAGTTCTTACTTCTTAATTATGATGGTCATTGACATATACCATGTTTTTCAGACGCCTGCCAGGCCTAGAAAAACTATATTTTTCAATGGATAAAGAAGATTCAATTTCCAAAATTCTGACTGATAAGATCACTCATATAATAGGGAGCACGTTTCTTGACTTGAAATGATGATTTTTTTTTTCTTCAGGATGAAACGTTGAGAAATGCCGTTGCAGCTTTTAAGGGGAAGAATTGGAAGAAAATAGGTTTCTCTCTATTTTTGTTGCTATAGAACTCTTTTTTTTTTTAAATGATTTTAGAATTTTAACCTTTGGTTTTAGTTGATTTCTTTATTTTATCTGACGAATTGAATGTGTTCTACTGTTAAGATAGTCTTGAAGCATTTTACACGTTCACTTAACTAATAAAAAAATTATGTTAAATATTTTGACCGTTTTTAAATTTGTGGCCATAGGGAAGGCATTCTAAGCTTTATACCTTGGATGATGATCTCGTTAGTATTAGTATGCAATTGTACTCTTCTTACATCTTGCGTGTTTGAATTTTATAAGCTACAGCTGAAAGTTATGGGAAAACATGGTTACTTGGCCCAATTGGGCTGATAATTACTTTGTATGCATATATTGCTAATTCAACTTTCACAGTCATTTTTTAGTATCATTATAAATTTTACCTATGATGAGTGGGTTGCCTGATTAGTAATTACCATCACTTATTTCAACACCCTGACCATAACTTTAAATGTATCAATTATCAAAATGGTAAAGTTTTTATATGCAAATCTGTTAGGTTGATTAGCCTTATCAAATAAAATTTGTGTGCAGCTGAGTACTTCCATGATAGATCAGAAGTTCAGTGTCTGCACAGATGGCAGAAGGTTCTCAATCCAGATCTTGTCAAAGGACCATGGACTCAGGAGGTTGTTACTCGTCGTCTTTTTCCTTGGAGGCTTTCTTCTCTTGCACGTATAGTGAAAATTTATCATTTTGTTTTTCTTTCTTATAGGAAGACGATAAAATTATTGAACTGGTATCGAAGTATGGGCCTACAAAATGGTCTTTGATAGCGAAATCTTTGCCAGGTCGCATAGGGAAACAATGCCGAGAGAGGTATCTCCTGTGAAATTATTGTGATTAGCTGTGAGCTGGAGTCTTGATTTTAAAATTCTAAATGTAATCTGCGTGTTTCTGGGAAGTTTACTATGCTTTTTTTCCCTTAATGCTTGGTCGATTGCCCTGTTGAATGATTGTGTGTTTCCTTTTTTTCTTACCTAAAGACAATAAGAGTTACTTACCGAGTCATGATTTCCGAACCTTTAGCATTTTCTGTCTTCATGTTTTGCTCTTTCTGAATATTGAAGGGACGTGAGTTTTTGTATCTGTTGTAAAGTAATATTCTATTATTTTTAGGTGGCACAATCATTTGAATCCAGATATAAAGAAGGATGCTTGGACATTAGAAGAAGAATTGGCCCTGATGAATGCACATCGGTTACATGGGAACAAATGGGCTGAAATAGCCAGGGTTTTACCTGGAAGGTACTCATTCTTGTTTCCGTAAACTTTCATACCTCAATGAAAATAAAAAAGAAGGGAAAAAGAGATCAACAGAGATATAAATGTACATAGATAGGTCGAACGAGTACGTGTAGACCATGTGTTCAGCTGCCTGTCCAGTCCCGTCTAATTTCTAATTAATTTATAAAGTATCACTGATATGATCTTTACATTCTTCTCAATAGTCATTTAGAAGTAACCCTTGATTGGTTATGTCATCTCTTATTTTAAGATTTTATTATTATGCTGAATGAATGGTAGAAAAATGTGGAAATATGTGTTATATAAACTAGGACATAACAAACACGAAAAAGAGTATTATTTATCACGCATTGGAAAAGAAATGTCTTTGCTTTGGAATTTTTGTCTGCTTGACTTGGTTAAAATGATATGGCGTATTCCTTCTATATTCAGGACTGACAATGCAATAAAAAATCATTGGAATAGTTCCTTGAAGAAAAAGCTAGATTTCTATTTGGCGACTGGGAAGCTTCCACCAGTTGCCAAAAATAGTTCCCAGAATGGTGCTAGAGATACTACTAGGACTCCACCTACTAAAAACCTTCCTCTTTACTCAAGTAAAGGATCAGACTCAACTGCCCAAACATCGTCGGGTAACACCGACATGTACAAATTGGAGGAAAGCAGTAAGGACCAGGTAGAGTCGTCAACGCCTCCTGATGAAGATATGGTTGCTTCAACAAGTGGGGTTTTGAATGAGTCTGCTGATTCCAGACACGCCAATTGCTGGCCAGGATCTTCAAATATCACGGATCCGAGATGCAGAATATCTGGGTCAGCACGAAAGAATGGCACTACGACTCCTGGTGAACTGGGGAAGGAGATTAGCAAATTAGATGAAGATAAAATTACACAAACACCTTCAAGATTTGAATCTCCGAAGTATGGTTCACTGTACTATGAGCCACCCCAACTAGAAAGTTGTATTCCAGTAGATTCTGAATTTTTAAGCATGTACGTGTATGAGACAAATAATAGTTCAATCAGTTCGCCTATCGGTATCTTCACTCCTCCTTGTGTGAAGACTAGAGACTTGAGTATACACAGCCCAGAGTCAATATTGAGAATTGCGGCTCGAAGTTTCCCCACAACTCCTTCAATATTACGGAAGAGAAAGACAGAAACTCAAACTTGTCTCCCTCCTAAACAGACGCAGGATGGGGAGACAGAAACAGTCATCTCCCGAGAATCTGGTCAAGAAGAAACACTTAATAATGGTGACAGCA